ACGGCATCCGATATCTTCAAACGCTGGCAATGCGTTTCTCCAGTAACTGGCCACAAGCACCTTATCCAGGGGAATTCGTGGTGCAGATGCCGTGTTGCTGGTTTAGGGAAAGCATACCTGCCCCTGTCAAAGGAGCGTCATGGTGCATGGCAGCTGTGCTGCAAGCTGCATGTATAAAAGGAGTTTGGGACGAACAAGAGCTTGGACCAAGCGTGTGACTACCATTTCCCTGGCATCACAATACACGGTAATCAACACCTACAGCCTACGTAACCATACGGTAAACCATCAACTCCATGCTGAACGTGCACACCAACTACATCATCGGCCTTTCCAAAGCCTTTCGCAATCAGGGCAGCACAGTCAATAGTGCTGACGGGCAGTACACTGCAACATGGGACGCCATCTGTGGGTCTGATTGACCTGACCGCCCTATTTGATTTTGTACGTTTGGCCGGACGTGCCACCCTCACGACGGCCTGGGGACACGATACCGTTGCGCTGGTGATACTCATCATCAACAACACGCACGTGCCCGAGAATCCTATTGACCACAGCAGAATTCGCAGATGTTTATGTGTAGTGTCTCTGACTTGCGCACCATGTTAGCATTTCAATGTCCGGCGACCAGACACACGCGGCCACCGCGCAAGTCCTCGAGGCACGAACCAGCTGTGCGAGGGAGCACGCGCTGAAGCAACACAATAGGCTGGCTTTCGGTAGCTAGAATTGTAGGTGTGTGCAGCACGCAGCAATATGGACGTCAAGCCTGGAGGTGGCGCAGGCGTCGCCGACGCAGCGGCAGAAACCGGCACCCCACGTACATCTTCAATAGCTGACAGCCAGGATGCTGCGCCGCCACCAGCAAACCCGAAGCCCAAGCGTATCCGACCGAAGCAGGTGCCGCTCGGCACCTTAATCGGCCAACTGCAAGGCGTGCTAACGCTCAAACAGAAGCATGTGGACGAGCTACGCTCTGTCCATGAGCAGCTCCAGGCGCGCGCAACAACGGCGCAGACGCTGGTGCGCAACGCAGAGCAGCTCATTCTGCTGGGGGAGCTGCTGGCGGAAAGCGGTGGTGGCGCGTCCGCGGCCACGGCCACCGCCGCCGCCGCCGCAGCCACTGCCCGCGCACAGAGCACGTCTGATAGTTTGGATGAGCTGCAGCAGTACAAGCAAGAGCTTGAGGCCGAGGCGGCGCCGCCCGCGCCAGGGACGGCGGGCGCCCCCGCGCTGCTGCCGCTCAACTGGAGCCCCGCTGCTGCCGCGGCGGCGTCCAATGGCAGCGTCTCCTCTGAAGATCTTAGGAGCCACCTGAAATCGTATGTGCAATCATGCAGCCCCCTGATAAGGTGCGCTCTGGGGCCGGCTCCAATCCTCTAACACTGCAACAAGGCATGCTTTCCCTCTGGCACGTGGAGCCCGCCGCTAGCCCCAGTGGTTCTTTGTCTGCAGCGCGAGCGTGCTGAAGACGCCGCGCGCCCCCGCGCCTCCGCGCCCCCCTCCTGCCGCAGCCGCGTGCGCGACGGCGCGCCGGACGCCGCGGCCTGCGCGGCTGAGCTGGAGCGGCTGCGAAGCGAGCTGCTCCAGCAGATGGCGCTGGCCCTGGTCGCGCGCGCCCCACAGGCCACGCCCCCAGTGGATGTTTGGCTGCGCCCACTCGACAGGCCGCCAACCCCCAGCGCCTCCGCGCGCGGCGACGAAGCCGGGGGCACAGACGAGCGCACGGGCAGCAGCGGCGGTGGCAGGCATGGGGCCGCTCGGGACGAGGCAGGGGAGGTCGACGGACGCAGCGGCGGCGGCGGCAGCGGACGCTCTGGTGCGGCGCCGGGGCCGCCCCCGCTGGCACACTGGGTGTGGGCCGTCAAGACTGGCCTGCGCCTAGACAGCGGCCAGGTGAGTGGGCGGAAGCCTAGGTGAGGGCGCTAGCTGGGGCGTATGCGAATGAACCAAAACTGCTGGCTTGCTGCCATGTGCTGTGTTGCGCGCCGCGCCTGCCATGTATGTCTGGGAGTGTGCATGTATGTGCATTCAGGCGAGCGAGCATACGGGTGGCATACAACTTGAGTGCACCGCGCCCTCATCAGCACGTTGCTTTGTGTGTGTGAACTCGCGCGCGCAGGTCTAAAACTGCATGATCACATACACATATGTCTGTGTGTACATACACATGTGTGTGTGTGTTTCTGCGTTCGCGTTTTGGTTTCACAGCTGCGATGCTTGCCCCACACATGCTTGTTGCATCAATCACCCCACTCACACACTCTCTCACACTCTCGCCCCCCGCACTCACAAACACACACAGGAGGTGATGGTGGACGCTCTGCTGGGAGCATGGCGCCGTCGCAACAAACAGGCCACCCAGCTGCGCGAGGCGCTGCTGCGACAGTGCTCTGAGAGCGACCCGCGGGACAGCGCAGAGCAGCAAGAACTTCTGTTGTCCCTGGACGCGGCTCAGGAGGCGTTCCTGGTGAACTATGCAGTGTGCATCTTAAGCTTTTACGGCGCTGTGCTGCGCGCCGAGCAGGTGCGCGCGTGACAAGCACCGGTACGCTTGAGGTTGTGATTAGTCAAGAGACGGGGCCCAGGGAGTGCATGCCTAGTGTGTGTGCGCATGTGCGTGTGTGCGCGTGTGCGTGTGTGTGTGTGCGCATGTGTGTATGTGCGTGCATGTGTGTGCATGTGCGTGCATGTGGCGCGTGCGTGTGTGTGTGTGTGTGTGTGCGTGTGTGTGTGTGTGTGTCTGTAGTGCATTGTATATGCGTGTGTGTGTGTGTGTGTTGACACATGCACGTACACATCCCTGCACATCAGTGACGTGCACCCTGGTGCGTGCCTGACAAGGGAGCCATGATTGCATTAGGATTGATGCCATGCAAAACGCCCTGTGCCCTCTTTCTTACATGTGGCCGCGCTCCCGCGTAGGTTGCCGCATGGATTGCGGCCGCGTGGCCCTTTGTGCCAAGCCTTGGCGCGCTGGACGAGGCACTGCAGGAGATACGGCGTGCGAAAGACGAACAAGCAAGCCTGGAGCGGGAGCCTCCCGCGTGATGATGGCCCTCTTGCTGCGTCAGCCCTGCGTGTGTACCTCTGAGGTATGGTTCTGCAAGCTGCCCCGCTGCCGGGCCCCTCTGTTTGGATGCAAGGCTCACTGCAACACGGCAACAGCGTTGGGCTTTGTCTGGGATTGTGATTTGTTGATGGTGTTGCTGCAATGGCAGGGCCGGGCCGTGGAGACCAACCATCGGCTGCAGCTTCAAGGTGCTGCTGTGCTGTTTGTATAACAACACCTGACTGCATGTATACTTTACACCCAGTGACTGCATAAATACTTTACACCCAAAGTTTAAAAAATCAGTCGGTTGTCGTCCAGGGATGGCTGAGCTTAAGGACCTCACTTGCATTTGAGGCCAAAGTTTTCTGTTCAAACGTCACAACATCTGGCGTTATTTTGAACTGCGAGCTGCCAGGACATCAGTGCTTATTCTTCGTGCAGCCTCCTGCCTCCAATCGCACGCGTGGCGCCGCGCTCTGCACCAAACTGCTGGTGTACTATGCCTTGGCTGCGACTGCGGTGGTGCCGATGCACGGCTGGACAAAACATAAATTGCTGCCGACGGCGAGCACGCCTTATTGCTGGCTACCATCAAATTCTCTATTTCTGCGCGATACGGCAGAGTTGTGCACACTGGCAGTCGTGCCGCCAAGATGCTACAAACATTACATCCTACTTGATACATCATGCACTGACGTCCGAGACGTGAAGCCGCCGGATAACACTACATGCTATTGTGTGCCAAGCACATGCACTGTTGCGGATGCTCCTTGTACCATGCCGTCCTTGCAGGCTCGCCTTTGTGCATTTCTGCTGGCCCTGGATTGATGGATGCATGGCAGGAGGGGCCATGCAATCACAACACTAGGTTTCTAATGTAATCATGTCATAGAGTGGAGTCGTGTTCACAAGGTGGTGTTGCAAGAGAGCGCAGCGCTCTCTGCATCTGATGCGCACAGCCAATCGCAGCAAGGTAAACTTGCACCAACACCAGAGCAGCGCGACGAGGCCCTGATCTCCGTGCACTGGGTGCAGCTCAACACTGCTGCGCCTGTCCTGCTGTTGGCCAGCCCCAGCGGGGGCGCGGGCGGCAGCCTCTGTCATTCCTGTTGATGGGCAGCCTGCAGTGCCTCCTCCAGCTGAGCCACCGCTGACATCAGCAGGCCGATGTCCCGCTGCGAAGACAGCCGGTGGTCTCCATCCTTTGCTACGGTCAGAACAACGTCGTCACCAGCCAGCTGACTCACCAGCCGCTGACCGACCTCGACGGGGACAACGTCATCCAGCGCGCCGTGCAAGATCCGCACAGGGCACCGCACGTCCAAGGATCCGGGCGCCTCGGGCAGCGCAAAGGCGCGCGCCTCCTCAAAGAACGCGAGGGAGACCTCGTCGGCGCCGGGAGCCACGTAATCGCTGCCGAGGTTGACGGCGCCGCCTGAAAGCAGTGCCTGCTGCTTGACCTCCCCGAGGCGGTCCCACAGCCGGTCGGCGAGGCTGACCGCGGGCGCGACAAGGACGAGGGCCGCGACGCGGGTGGGGCGCTGGAGGGCCGCGTGGAGTGCCAGTAGGCCGCCCATGGACGAGCCTGGGGCGAGGGGCGTGGCCGGCCGCCGGGGCAGGGGAGCAGATGTTCAGCGGGGCAGAAAGCATACAACAGTCAACAGAGGTGACAGCCGGCTCGCACAGGTGAGGGGCAAAGGCGGCCGCTGCTGCCGCCGCCGCGCGCCCTTGCGGCAGGGCCCGCAGCCCCCGTGGTGCGCACCCACGACGACGAGGGGCGCCGCCTCGTCCGTGAGGCTGTCCACCGCCAGCAAGGCGTCGCGGAACCAGTCCCCCAGGTGAGTGCCGGCGAAGGTTCCGGATGACAGGCCGTGGCCAGTGTAGTCAAACCTGGTGATGTCAGCGTGGCGGGGTCGCGCCGAGTGCCGCTTGTGCCGCGAGAATGAAACCTCCACAACTCAAGTGAAGACGCTGTTCTAGGGCGCACCATCGGCATGCTGTTGCTCGGGGCAAGGAATGCTTGCACGCAGACAGCAGGGTCGGGCACGGCCGCCCCACTCGGGCGCACCACCGTCCGCGAGCAAACACGCGTGGATACGTGAGCTGGCGAGCTCGCACTTCGGTCTCGTGCCTGCCTGGTGTAGCTGCAGTGAGGCAGCTTCTCTTTCACATAGCTTTCAAGGGCGACGGCCTTGGTCCTGCGGCGCAAGGGGCCCGTAGATCATTGAGAAGGGCGTAAGTGACAGCGAGCGAGGGCAATGACGTGGCTGAGTGGGGGGGGGCTCAGACGACACGTGCGCCTGTTTGACCAGCCGGCTATGCTTGCGGCCGCGTAGAGCCGCTGAGTCTATAGCGAACGCATGAAGGCTTACCCTTGCATGTTGCTCAGGAGGCCCGGAAAGAAGATTACCCCGGTCTTGACCGGTGGCGCGCCAGCATGCCGCACGTAGGCAATGCGGCTGCCCCCCGCTCCAAGCAAGAAAGATGCCTTCGCCATCGCTGACGCACAAGAACGAATGTGCACTCGCTTCTATCTACCTTGTAGTGCTGAGCACTTGATTCTGTGATCTCGTGGCGTGCGAAGAGATCGGAGCCTGCGATCTGCTGGCCTGGACTTACTACAGTACTTTAATGGACACATCGTATGGTGGTCGCGTTTGCAAATGGCTCAAATTACCTTGACGCCAGTGATGGACTTCACCAAACGGCGAGCATACTCAACTGCTCACCCGGCGGCATGCTGGGTTGCGAGGCGGGAAGCGCACTGCGGTGTGCCGTGCGGCAGCGGACACACCCCTCAGCCATATACTACCGTCCATATGCATGTGCCCAGCTGCAGCAACGTACCTTGCAGACCCCACTATTGCCTTGCAGTGGGGGCCAGGCTTGCTGAAGCAGTGACGTGCGCCAGCAAACAAGCTGCAAATGGTCGATTGCTCCTTTCCGTTCATGGCCACAGCTCGCCCAACGCGTCCGTGAAAGTGGATCCCCCCTACACTTCACATCACACCTGCTACTGGGCGGCTTGCACCGTCTGCTAAGACGGGCTGCTTTGCTCTGCGCTTTGGCGACAAGTCCCGTGTGCCGTTTGAAGTGGGCCGCTGAGTCCGCACTCACGTGAGTGGAGACACTGTGAGGCTGAGTTGATTGATGGCAATAACATCTGTGAGGCAGCGCAACAGAGCAGGCTCATGCCGCGCCCATGGCTTGCGGCAGTCGGAAGGGCCCTGCACACCCAAAGCAAAGCATGACAGGCGACACTGGGCAGCGACGAATGGCAGCGGACACATCATGTTGGAAAGTCCCGCACCTTGAGCTTGCAGATTGGATTTTTGGTATGCTTTTAATACACTGCAGTATTCTTCGCGAAAAACGCCAGCTGCACGCCCTCGTGTCTCAACCTCGGTGCTCATCTGCCCTGTACTGCGGGCTACGTGACCAGTTCAGACTGCAAACATGCATATGCAAGCCTGCATGGGCACTCCGTCGTGCAGAGGTGTTGCACGGCCTCTGGTGCTGCAGCATCGAGCACTCGGCCACAGAAATGCCGCACGCTGTGCTGCTGGGGCGAGCAGCCCGACAAGCAGCATGGACATGTGGATGCCACTCCCTGAGATTGACGTTGATGTGCCCATGAGCAGCAGCAGCAGCGGCGGCAGCAGCAGGGGCAGCGCCAGAAGGGGTGCTGCCACCACCACCAGCGGCGCATCGGGCGCCGGCATGGACAGGCGGGCAGACGCGGCCGCGGCCGCCGGCGGACGGCCAGGCAGCGCCCCCCTCGCAAGCAGCAGCAACGCCCCCAGCAGCAGCAGCGCCGGCGGCGGCAGCGGCGTGACAGGCGACGCCGCGCCCCGCGGCCACGGCGGCCGCGACGCCTCGCTGCTGTCCCTGGAGGAGCAGGAGCGGGAGCTGCAGGCGGTCTCCACCGCGCTGCCCCGCACGGAGGCGCGCCTGGAGACGCTCGCGCTGTGGGTTGGCGCGGCCGTCGCGTTTGGCGGCGGCGTCTGGCACTTCCTCGGCCCCGAGAAGGGCCAGGAGTTTTTCGCTGGTTACCTGCTGGAGCAGTCGCTGTCCATCGACAACCTGTTCGTGTTCGTCCTCGTCTTCAACTACTTCAAGACCCCGCCCTCGGTGCAGCCCAAGGTGCTCAGCTACGGCATCGCCACGGCCGCGGTGCTGCGCCTGGTTATGATCCTGGCCGGGACCGAGCTTGTGGAGCACTTTGAGCCGGCGCTGCTGCTGTTCGCGGTTGTGCTGCTGTGGAGTGCGTACGGGCTGCTGGTCGGGGGCGACGAGGGCGAGGAGGACCTGAGTGACAACAAGGTGGGTCCAAAGAGGCCCGCGGGGCGCAGCTGCCGGGCTGGTGCAGCTGCTGGGCGGCTGCACCAAGCGGCGGCGCCATGGGGGGAGAGTTCTGCTCGGCGTCGTGTGCGCCGAGGTGTCGCCTACTTATGGGTCGCGGCTCAACACATTGGGTTGCGGAGGGGTGATGGGCGCAAAGATTGTGTTGTTGCAGAACGGCATTGCTGGCTGTGCACGAGCACCCCGAAAGCACCCCTGGCTGCTGCATGCTTTCATGCGTGCCAGCATTTCTGCAGCACGCGGGTTGACCCAGGTGTGCCTCGCGACCCGGCCGGAATTACATCGCGTGCCAGACCCCCTTGCCAGACTGCAACCCCTCCCCCGTCCAAACCCGCCCGCATCCTCTGGACTTTCGCCCCGCAGATCGTGAAGCTCTGCAGGAAGCTGCTGCCCGTCTCAGACCACTACGACGGCGACAAGTTCTTCACCACCGCGCCGCCGCCCTCGCCGGGCGCCGCCGCGGTCCGCGTCGCGACGCCGCTCCTGCTGACCCTGGCCGTCATCGAGATATCCGATGTCGTGTTCGCCGTCGACTCGATCCCCGCTGTCTTCGGCGTCACGCTCGACCCCTTCATCGTCTACACCTCAAACCTCTTTGCCATCATGAGCCTGCGGTCCCTCTACGCGTTCGTGTCCACGGTCATGACCGAGATGCGGTTTTTGGACAAGGCCGTCGCGCTGGTGCTCGCCTTCATCGGCGGCAAGATGATCGCCGAGTTTGGCGGCGTGGCGGTGCCGACGGACGTGAGCCTGCTGGTGGTGGGCGGCGTGCTCGGCGGCGGCGTCGCGGCGAGCTTCGCGCTGCCCGAGGCGAAGGAGGAGGCGCGGTGAGACGGCTGGGTGCGCTCCTGTGCTCCCGGCGCGTCGCGCGCTGGCGGCGGCGCGGCGGGGCGGCGGCCGGAGCGGCCGCGCCCGCAGCGGCGGCGGCGTGCCAGTGCGCCCTTCAGCGGGCGTGTCCGGGATGCCCCAGGACTCGGAAATCTCTATTCATCGCGGCACTCAAGTCTTCGGCTTGTTGGGGCGCATACTCAGCCGCCATCCCTTCCTCTGCCCCCGTCTGGTGCCCGCCCCGGCTTGAACCTCCAGCCACTGCTGCTTGCGGTCAGACCCTGATTCCTGACGCCTGACAAATTGCTTTGTTGCGCAGCGCACCATGGCAGCGCATGCAGAGGCCGGCGGCACGCTTCCCTGTGAGCGGCCGCCTTCGATCTGGGGCTTGGCACTGCGTGCGCACGCGCGCACAGTCGGTGCCGCAATTTTGCGTGCCTCTTGACTGGCGGCGCTGCCCTGGCGGCGTCCGCATTATTGACCATCGGCAGCAGCAGGAGCAGCAGCAGCAACAGCAGCAATATCCGGCACGGCTGCAGGCAGCGGGTCGCCATGCCCCTGCCACGTTTTTGGACCCCCATCTTTTCGGAACGCACAGCCTCAGCCAGCCAAGCGGCCACAAGCGAATTGAGTGCCTGCTGCACGAGCCTGACCGTTGAATGTACCAAACCCCGCCGCGCCCTTCACGCGCGACACCCGCCCGCGCGGCACCCGCGGCGGTCCCCGCCGCCCCTTGTGCGGCCGGCGCCGGCGCAGGGCAGATCCCTGCCGCCGGCCCGTTGCTGGCTGCTGCTTGAGATGTGCGCCCCTGAGCCATTCCCATGTGTTTGGCAGCCTGGTTGTTGGTTGTCGGTGCTGGCTTATACGTCGCCCCATGTGAACCCCCTGCGTTGCACGCGAACATCCCACCCCGCCGCGCACATGTCTGCAAGCGCGTGGCGTTTGTTGGCAGCCCCGAAGGTCCTATGCTACTTGCGCCCCTGCATTCCGTAAGCGCTGGGTCATGCGCTGCTGCATCAAGCCGCGCCAGCTGTGCGCCTGTCTTCTTGTCCCACGGGTGCTCCTGCTCTGCATTTATGATACTCAACGGATGCCTGCGCTTGTAATGCCAAGACATAGTGTGACTCTGCGTGTTCCGGGGTGGTTGGGAAAGTTTCAGAGGGTCCAAGGGCGCGGGAGGGCGGGGCCGGTTGGCGGCTGCTTGTGGCAGCTGTTTCGCGGGAGCTTGGGGGTGCGGGCCGCCGGTTTGCGATGTCGCAGGCCGGGGACCGACGCTTCCACCATGCCGGGGGCGCAGAGCGCGGCGCGCGAAGAAGCAGAGCCGCGCGGGCGCATTTTGTGCGGATGCGGGCAGGCCGGGAGCGCCTGGCCAGCAGCGTGGTGGATAAGCCATGCGGAAACCCCACCAGTTGGGGTGACGGCGTCGGCACGCGAGCGACGGTCCATCCCACAAATGCACGCCCGGGCCGCTGTGAATGCAATGGCATTGGTCACCAGCGGCAAGGGGGTGCCGGAAGATCAAATTGTAGTCCCCAAAAGCCAGGGCGCCAGCGTCTGTGCGGGCAGAGCGCTTTTGAGCGACCCGTTGCCCCGTCTTGGGTGGGGCCGCGCCCAGCTGTGAAGCTGGGCTTCGGGAAAAAGCTCGCCAGCTCTGCCGTGCGCGCGGCACCCGCTCCGTCCTGCCGCCGCCGCCCATGGGCGCCGCCCGCGTAGCTGGGCCAAGAGGAGGCCGCGCGGTGAGGCCGCGCGGCCTGGTCAGTAGCGCCCGCGCCGCCGCCGCCGCCAGAAGAGCAGCCTCCTCGGCCCGGCTGCCGCGGCCCCCGCAACACGCAAACGAAGGCGCCCGCCCGCGCCCATGCTGGCGGCCGGCCAGCGCGCCGCGCCGCGCCGCGCCGCACGGAGGCGGCGGCCGGCCGAAGTCACCACCAGCGCAGGTGCAGGTTGGCCCTGTTTTGCAGCGCGAGCTTGTGGAGGTCGTCACGCTTCTGCCGCGCGGCGCCGCGCTTCTGGTACGCCAGCAGCAACTCCAGCGCGAGGCACTCTGCAAAGGCGCCCTTGCTCGACTTCTTGCGCGCCTCGGCGGCGCGCACCAGCCAATGCAGGGCGAGGCTGCGGCCCTTGGGGGGTGGCAAGTAGTGTGCGGAGAGGCGCGGGTGCATCGAGCGCGAGAGTTGGAGGAGGGGAGGGGAGGGGCCGATGCTGGGTGGGGATAGAGAGGCTTTGCTTGAGGGTTATGCGAGGAAAACAGCGCGGCATGCGCCCAAAGTCCAGGGGCGCCGCCGAGGGCGGCCGCCGCAGCCAAGGCGACCGTCTTGCCGAGCAGCGCCGCCAGCCGCAGCCCCAGCGGCTGGCTGCCCCAGCCACTGGCGGCCACGACCCCCGGCTCCCTGCATGCCACCCTGGAATGAAGAGTTGCACCTTTTCAGAGGGCATGACACCGGGCACGTAGGTCGTTTTGGTGGCGGTGCGGATGGTGCGCACATCCAGATGCGGCGTCACGTTCTGCACGGCCTGGAGGGGGCGAAGGGGCGACCGGGGTCGGCGGCGGGTGCAGCGCGGGGCATGGCGCGCTGCCGCAGCCAAACGTGCGCTGCCGCTGCCGCTGCTGCTGCCGCTGCCACTGCCGCCGCAGCTGGCGCAGCCGCTCCCGCTGCCTGCGCAGGCGAGGGCTGCCGAGCTCCGGTCATTGTTCCGTCGGAGGCGTGCCGTTCAGCTGGTGGTCATGTGCTGACCGCTCGCTGCGCTCGGAGCACGAGCAATGCAGGCGTACGCACGGCAGCCGGCCGCCCCTGCCCGTCGGTCAGACTGTAATGGATGAGTCAAGATGCATGAGGTCAAACCCGCACCTGCAGCACCACCCTGACTGCGTCCGTACTAGCAGGGCCCCCGTCCTCGTACATCGCCGCGCTTGCCTCCCCCGCGGCCTCCGTGCCAGCCGCATCCTCGCCCTTGCCGGCCTTTTCTTTCTTCGGCCCTTGCTTTGTCTTGGTGGGTGGCCGGTAGGCCGCTGACTGCTGCAGCTGGTGCCACTTGCCGTGTGCAGGGAGAGCGCCGCTGCTGCCCCAGCTAGAAATGGCAGCCAGGCCGCCACCTCTGCTGGTGCTGGCGCTGCTGCTCATGCCTCTGCTGCAGCTGCAGTGACTAGGGTTGCTGGTGCTGCCGGCGTTGCCGCCGCTGGTGCTGCATGCCAGTGGGTCACTGCATGCTGCAGCACGCACAGCTGCTGCGACGCTCGCCTCCAAAGCGGGGCAGCCGCCACGGACGACCAACGTGGCTGCTATAAGACCATTGCTCAGCATTACTGCGGGGTGGGTAGGGGAGACACCCCGCAAGGCAGCGAAACGCTCTGTAAGAAAGCAGCAGGCAGCTTGTGATCTAGACGTGTTGGTACGGTTGTATACTGTGACGTGATGAAACCTTGGTGTATGTGCCAAACTTGCTTGCGTGTGAGGATGCTTGATGAGTGGCCACTCCAGTCACCCGTCTGGCCCTCGGAAGCTTGCTTTGCACTTGCAACTTCCGGATCTTTGCGCGCTCCTTGTGCAGCCAAGCCTACATTGAGCCGTTATATCTCGTTTCACTTGATTTCCTCCTATCACCATACGGCTGACGTCGTCTTACACCCGTTCCTGATTCGAGACTTGCTGCAGGACGCGCATCTTGCAAGAGACCCTTGCCACAGCGTGCAAGCACTTCACATTTATCTCGTGATGCAGCGCCTTCACCGTGGCAGCCCTTGTGCAGCGGGACGCGGATTCGCAAGCGGCGCGTTCGCCGCGCCGCAGAAATCATTCAATGCTGCTGTCTCCAACACCCGCCGCGCCCGCGCTGCGACTCCTGTGACGTCGGTCATCGCGCAGCAGCAGGACGCCGACGACAGCGCTGTCGCCCCCAGTACCAGTGGCAGCGACGCGGGCGCCGCGGCCGGCCCAGGCCTTGCGGCCGCCCAGCAGCAGCAGCAGCAGCAGCAGCTGGGGGGCCGCGTCGCGCGTTTCCGCGCCACCAAGCAGGCGGTTCAGGTCGTGCAGGAGCTGCAGTCTAGATCCCTGGCAGAGTACATGGCCCTGCCGGCCAGCCAATACTCAGTGCTAGACGCCCGCAAGGTGCGCCCAGGCCGGGGCCCTTGCAACGAGGGGGGGACAGCCATGGAGTGCGAGCGCACGTGTGAAGGGGATGGCGGGGTCGTGCTCTCCGCAGTCAGCGCACCCGCCCGCTGCACGCGCTGTGGTGGAGTGGTTGTGGGGTCTGGTGCGATGCGGTGTGGCGCCGCGTGGGTGTGCAACTCATGAGGGGGGATCGCGGAACGGCGTGACTGGGGTTGAGCGGCACGCGGCAGCACCGCCAAACCTCCTTGCCCACGTGCGCCCAGGCAACCTCAGAGCCCTTCCCGCCCACGCAATCTGTTTTATCATCTACACACGCATTCTTACACACGCATACTATCTCACGACTGCGCGCACGCGCGTACGAGCTCGCTTCCACTTCGTCATTCAACACAAACGCACGCTCACACGCATGCACACACACACACACACACACACACACACACACGCAAACACACATGCGCACACACACTTAGCACACACACGCACACACAGACACACTCACCATCACAACCGTATGTACATGAATACACACACTCACACATGTGTGTTCTATCCCACTCCTCTCTAGATCGAGCGTGTTGACGAGTCCACCTTCCGCTGCTACGTTGGCCAGCTCAGCTTCCTGGGCTTCAGCGTGGAGCCCGTCATCACCGTCAGCGTCTCCGTCGAGCCCCGGGGCTGCACGATCCGCCTGCTGTCCTGCCGCCTGCAGGGCAGCCGGCTCGTCGAGGAGGTCAACAACAAGTTCTCGGCGCAGATGACTAACGCGGTGGTGTGGGAGCCGACGGAAGATCCAGGCGCGAAGCAGATCTCCAGCAGCACGACCCTGTCGGTTGATGTGGAGGTTCCCGGCTGGCTGGTGCTGCCGACGTCTGCGGTGGAGGCCGCCGGCAGCGGCGTGATGGCGGCGACGCTCAACGCGATGGTGCCGTCGTTCTTGCGGCAGCTGGAGCGCGACTACGCGCTGTGGGCGTCGGGGGATACGTCGCGGCGGCCGCTGGGGGAGGGCATCCTGTGAGGCGCGCGGCGGGCGGGCGGGCCGCCTGGTCGATTGTTTTGCGGTGTCGGACGCGCAGTGGTAGGGGGGCCGAGACATTGGGTGCAGACATGCATTGCCAGCGCTAGTGGCTTTCGATGTAGAGAGGGTTCAGGCAGGGTCAGGTTGTCGTGAGAGGGGCAGGAAGCCCGTGCATGTACTTTGTTGAAGCAGCGAGGTGCTCGCAAGAGAACAGGTATGGACTGACTTCGGACAGGCCTGGCACCGTGCCACGTGGGCCACACGTGTGTTTTTCATTTCAGCCAATCTCTTTGGCAGTGGAGAGAGTGGAACGCACTGCACAATATGGCCTGCGCTTGACTGCTCTTCCCAGCTGAGATCCGGCGGGCATGCCTTGTAGGATCATTTGTAACGCTCAGAGCATTGCGTTGTTGATGCTGGGGCAGTTGTGGCACATGGGGTGTAGGGTGCACGTTTGCTCTGTCACTTCTTTACAAGCGGTTGTGGGCAGGCCTCGTTACAAGTGCCTTCACGTTTGCACCAACGCCTTCAAGCACGAAGCAGCCGCCGGCGCAGCTGCTGTCAGCCAGCAGCAGGCAGCGGGTTGAAACGCACGCATCTAAAGCAGACATGCGCCCAGCTCCGCACAACCATGGTGTGGCACCTGGGGGCATAATGCTGTGCCTGGGGCTTGGCTGGTTTGGCAGTGCCCAGGCAGCATGTGCAAGTTACATTTCAGCAGCCAAGGATTGTGGTGTCCCTGTCAGTGCAGGCTGCTGCTGCTGTCGTGCGCGCCAGTGCGCTGTGCCCTCAACTGGAAGTAATTGTACGCAATGAACAGATGGTTCTGCAGAACAATCAATTTCTGAGATGGCCAGATAGCATAGTGCAGCAGAAAAGCGGAGGCGCTCATACCAGCAGAGGGCTGGGCAGGCCGCCATCCAAATGGCCTGGTGTATCGACAGTTGGAGTGTTTGATTTTGAATGGCTGTATGGCCTGCATTCCAACAATGTGCATAAAGATTCCACAGGGTTCAAACCACAGGGTTCAAAGGCCAGCAAACCACCTGTAAATGCAGCGCCGCTCTGCAGCCAGCGTGGGGCGTTTTATGCTCGGGATACTGGCCGTGGCTGCAGCATTCTGCCACACCGACGCGTGGCGTCAGCGAGGGCACAACACTCACGTACAAGCTTTACTTGAGATCAAAGAGGTTCCCCAGGGCCAGCGCCGCCGCCACGCCGCCTAAGACGGAGGTGCTTACGATGAGGCCCCTGTTGTTGGGCGTGGTCGTCTTCTGGGCTGACACCTGCTTTGCGCCCAGGGACGACTGGAAGCCCTGGAAGGACTGGGACGCCGCCTGGAGTGACGACGACTGGGATGACGTGCCCGCCTGCAGGAAGCTGCCCTCGGCAACGCGGTAGGTCAGCATGCACTTGGACCAATCCGCGTCGTCCGAGGCGGCGCGCGTGAAGTCGAAAGTGACCGTGCCGTCGGGCTTGGCCGACACGACGCCGACGGGGTGCTGGGGGAAGGCTACTGCCGCCTGCGCTTTGCTGCCCTGGCCGATGGCGACGCCGGCGGAGGCAGGGCAGAGGGCCTTGAAGGCGGGCGCCACCGCCGGCGTGAGGGTGACGCTGGTGCCATCGATGGCGGCAGCAAGGTTGCCGCCGCAGTCATTGGCCCAGGTCAGCTGGTTGCAGGCCTCAGCACCGGGCCAGTGTATGAGCTCCAGGCGTGCGACTGCAACAAGTTTTGAGGGGGAGGGGGGCAAAGAGACACGAGCACAATCCATCATTGCCAGAGCTTACAACACAGCTTCCAATGCAGGGGGGGCAAACACGACAGCATCAATCCTAGTGACTGTGATGCTGGAGTTTGATGCATAGATCTCAGCCCCTGATCCTCATGTTGTGGCCCCCTTCTCACACTCCAAACACAAAACCCACGCTCAAGAACGCCCAACTCACTTTGAGGGGCGCTCTCTGCCTGCAACAGCTTGGTGCAGCGGCAGCGTGGCCCATCAGGCTTATGCCTGGCCGAGCAGCTGAACTGGAAGTCGTACCCTGTGCATTTCGCCTCGCACGCTGCCAGGGCCGCTTGGCAGGCAGCGCTTTTATCGGTGGCAGCTTGCGCCGTTTGCAGCAGCGCCGCCAGAACGAGGCCCAGCACAACAAGCTGCGCCGTGCGAGCCATTTCAAGCCCAGAAACCTGCTCGTAGGATACGTTTGCGTTGCGCCATGCAGATATGGAATCGGCCGCGAGCGGCGAGCAGTTGTTCCGTGGGATGCGATGGCCCAGGAGCCCGCTAATGCTGCGGCCCGCCCACCTTAAGGGACTCTAACAATCAAGGTTGTATTATAATGGCCTTGTTAGGCTTCATGCACGTCGTGTCTATCCGACGAGCGCGAAACTGCTGGTCGACCAATATCCCTATGGGGGGCCCGCGCTGTGAAATATATAAGCAGACACAACAGAATGGTAAATGTATAGTCTCAGCTCAAAGATGGAGCATGACCCTGCTGACCTTGGTGGCCGCTTTACGCCGTCCATGAGTCCAGCCCCTAGCTGAAGCTCCCTTGTATCACCCAGCAGTGCCTGCCAGGTTGCCGCAACGCAAGCTGGAGTTGGCGTCTTGCCCGCACCTTGTGATTACAAAAGTATTTGTGCACAACATCCACTTCAACACATGGCTGTCTTGATGGTTTTTTGAAGTGGGCTTGACGACGGTGAGTCAATCAGCGTCAAACCACATCTTGAATCTTCGCATTGAGGAATCCCCCAACAACGGGCTGACGGCACTCCGCACGTTCTGGCTGCCCTGCCTGCTGCCGCCTAGCTGTGTGCTGCTCGTCTCTTTCTTCAGCACCCCTGTTACCTGGTGTCGCCGGCACCATCTTTGATACGGCACTCCTCTCATTCAGGTTGGTCTTGCCCCCCTTGCGCTCCGAAGAACTGCTGCTGCTGCTGCTGCTGCTGCTGCTGCTGCTGCTGCTGCTGCTCTTCTGCAACCTCTGCACAATCCTGGGCCTTGACAGGCTGGGTCAGCTCAGCATTGTTCTCGGGCTCCTCTGCAGCTGGCCTCTGCTCGACGGCGGCTGTGCTTCCAGACCTGCTGGGATGTCTCTGATAG